AACTATTGTAAAACGCGAATTTTGGCTTCTGCGTAAGCCCAAGTACTGTTCTCAAGGCTGAATTTTCTGTCATTGAAAATAAAGAATTAAAAAAAAAAAAAAAAAATACATACTGTTACATTTATCACATAGAACATACACATTGTACCTATCCCCAGATAGCTTAGATCTGAGCGCCCATTTCTACCAGATGGCGCTCAGAGCACACACATACAGTTCAATTGCCATGGAGCCAAAGTCTTTCGGTATACGAATGGGCTCCATGGCATGGCTATCTGGGGTAACACTGCTCACATAGGGAAAATAAAAGGTTTTTAATGCAAGGCCATAGTCTAAAGGGAGCAGGCGAGCAACCAGGCTCCTCCAGTGCACAGTGGCGAGGTTGGTTCCGCCACAAATATCCATCCCAGTGCCACCTAGATACAACTTGTAATACTCTGTTATGGCACCTAAGAAAGAAACGACATCTGTCACAGATAAAAAATACATCATTTAATACTTTCTATTCACCTAAAGTTCAAGAAACCTCTAAATCACTATCGAGATGCTCGATTGAAACCAATAAAGATCCCACTGAGATAAATGCAGAGAATTTAACCGAAGAAGATATGTCAATTGTATCTTTCACAGAGGTATCCAATATAGGAGAGTAATTGTCTCAGCAAGCAGAAGCATTTGGTAATATCCAGAATGATTATACACAGAAGCAATCAGAAAATCTTCAGCTAAAATCCGGTACCTAGAAACCAAAGTATCAGACCTTGAATTTAGGTTTAGGGTTTAGATTTAAGTTAAGGGTTGGAGAGAGGCAATCTGCCCCACTCCTTCACTTATACTCCTTCACTTATATGCACCAGAAAGAAGACCACAAAGGTTAAAACGCGTTGTGTTTGGACTACCAGTCTGTATACAAGTGTGTTTTTACACTTGTTTTTTTAGGTATTTTCTAGTAAATCTCTTTTACAATTCCATGATTCTGAAGGACTCTTTATTACTGAGAAAGGAGTGGACCAGGAGTGGGGCAGATTGCCCGAAGAGCACATTAACCAACACCTTTATAGTCAGAGCCTGCTTAATGTGGCTCTGGAAATTGTGAGTGACCCATTACCTTTGATTCTAAATGTTAGCTTTTATGTTTTTGTTTTTTTACAGATTATCCAAGAGACATTGTGTAATGTATGAAAACTGGTTTTAACTCACTGTTTTTTGCTTGTGGTTTGCTTATAATTTGCACCCCATTTTCTTATATATTCTGTTATTCTGTTGTTTATCCCACTGTGAAGCATGGTAGTGGGTAACTGATGTTTTGGGAGGGTGTGGCTCTAAAGGCAATTTGTGAAAATTGATGGCAAGATGAATGCAGCATGATATCAGAAAATACTGCCAGACAATTGGCATTCTTCTCCAAGAAGGCTGTGCATGGGACGTGCTTGGACTTTCCAGCATGACAATGACCCAAAGCACAAGGCTTAGTTGATCCTCCAGTGGTTACAGCATGAAAAAGTGAAGGTTCTGGAGTGGCCATCACAGTCTCCTGACCTTAATATCATAGAGCCACTCTGGGGAGATCTCAAACGTGCGGTTCATGCAAGACGACCAAAGACTTTGCATTACCTGGAGGCATTTTGCCAAGACGAATGGGCAGCTAGGGTACCACCTGCAAGAATTAGGGACCTCATAGAGAAATATTACAAAACACTGCACGCTGTCATTGATGCTAAAGGGGGCAATATACAGTATTAAGAAATAAGGGTATGCAGACTTTTAAACAGAGATCGTTTCATTTTTTTTCTTTGTGGCCATGTTTTGTTTTATGTCATTCTGTTAACCTACAGTTGAATATAAATCCCATAAGAAATAAAAGACATGTGTTTTGCCTGCTCACCCACTTTCTTTAAAATGGTTCATATACCACCAATTCTCCAAGGGTATGCAAACTTTTGAGCACAACTGTAGTTCTATCTGTTTCTGCAATGTCCATTTGATAAATGCGTGAAGTAGTGGTTGAATATATACATTAATTGCACCCCTTCAATGTGCATATAAAGATGGTTTTATATTTATGAAAGCGCACAATGGTGGCAGTAACAAAGAGAGGTTAGTGAGAATTACCCAGACAGAAAAGGAAAGAATGAATCAGAGAGGTAAGTAGACTGAAGTGATACTAAAACTGAGAGCAGTAAGCATAGGGTGACAAAGGGAGATATGTACAGGGGTAAAGAGTTACACTGACAATAGGAGAGTGACAAAAACAAGGTGAGAGTGACACAGAGAGCATGACAAAAACAAGAGGCAAGTGACACAGAGAGACAAGAGAGAGTGTGAAAGCTGAATCCTAACTCAGAAGACTGGAAAAGGGAGACAGAGTGCGAGAATGGCATTGAGATATGGAAATAAAGGAAGGAAGTAATAAGAAAGGGATTAACTGTGTCAAGGTCTCATTTGCCTTACCCTGGCTCCCACGCTGCCCACCAACATCAGGGCTGCAGGATACACAGTGCCATCTGTTATCCTGGACATGCGGTTCTGACAGCATGGCACTGTGTATCCTGCAGCCCTGATGTTGGGCAACGTGGGAGCCAGGGTAAGGCAAATTAGACCCTGACACAGTTAATCCCTTTCCCACACAGGGTCTCCTGTCCTCCGCAGTATGCCTCAGACCGGGAGATGTGTCCCCTTGGCATGGCGACAGTGCCAAACTGGGCTCCTCACATGAGCGCATGGCCAGATCCTGGTCTCGAATTGGCTGCCTGGTGTCTGTCTGCCATGGCAACTAATTCAAGTTGTTAGTTAGAGCCTCTATGATATTGTATTTGTATAAAATACCATTTTGTGAGACTGCTATTTCTTTTCTTGCGTACAATAAATAACTGTATATCAGTGTTTTTATTAGTATGATAAAGAGGATTGTACTGTACCTATAGATAAAGACATACTGCTCCTTGTAGCTATTTTTCCCCAGCCTTTTACTGTCCAAGTGCATGTACAAATGGGAATTATCATACCTGGAATGGGTTAAAGAAAATCCATGAGATTAAACATCTGGCATAAAACAGTTTTAAGATTTAGGGTTAGAGAGAGGGGTTAATATTTAGGGTTAGAGAGAGGAATTAAGATTTAGGTTTATGGTTAGGGAGAGGTTTAGGGTTAGAGGGAGAGGTTGGGATTCAGGTTTAGAGAGAGGGGTTGCGATTTAGGTTTAGGGTCAGAGAGAGGGGTTGAGATTTAGGTTTAGAGGGAGGGGTTGGGATTTAGGTTTAGGGTCAGAGAGAGGGGTTGAGATTTAGGTTTAGAGGGAGGGGTTGGGATTTAGGTTTAGGGCTAGAGAGAGGGATTAAGATTTAGGTTTATGATTAGAGAGAGAGGTTAAGATTTAGGTTTAGGGTTAGAGGGAGAGGTTGGGGTTTAGGGCTAGAGAGAGGTGTTAAGTTTAAGGTTTAACCCCTCTCTCTAGCTAGGGTTAGACAGAGGGGTTTGGATTTAGGGTTAGGGTTAAAAAGAGGGGATTGAGATTCATGGCTAGGGTTAGAGAGAGGTTTATTTTAAGTTTAGGTTTAGGGCTAGAGAGAGGGGTTAAGAGGGGCTAGAGAGAGGGGTTGAGATTTATGGTTAGGGTTAGAGAGAGGGGTTGAGATTTAGAATTAGGGTTAGAGAGAGGGGTTGAGATTTAGAATTAGGGTTAAGGTGAGGGGTTGATATTTAGGTTTATGGTTAGAGAGAGGGGTTGGGATTTAGGACTATGGTTAGAGGGAGGGGTTAAGATTTAGGTTTAGGGTTAGAGGGAGGGGTTGAGACTTGGGTTTAGGGTTAGAGAGAGGGGATAAGATTTAGGTTTAGGGTTAGAGAGAGGGGTTGGGATTTAGGTTTAAGGCTAGAGAGAGGGGTTGAGATTTAGGTTTATGGTTAGTGAGGGGTTAAGATTTAGGATTAGAGGGAGAGGTTGGGATTTAGGTTTAGGGCTAGAGAGTGGTTGAGATTTAGGATTAGAGAGAGGGGTTAAATTTAAGGTTTAGGGTTAGAGAGAGGGGTTGAGTTTATGGTTAGGGTTAGAGAGAGGGGTTGAGATTTAGGTTTAGGGCTAGAGAGAGGGGTTGATATTTAGGATTATGGTTAGAGAGAGGTTTAGGGTTAGAGGGAGAGGTTTATGGTTAGAGGGAGAGGTTGAGATTTAGGTTTAGAGGGAGGGGTTGGGATTTAGGTTTAGGGCTAGAGAGAGGGATTAAGATTTAGGTTTATGATTAGAGAGAGAGGTTAAGATTTAGGTTTAGGGTTAGAGGGAGAGGTTGGGGTTTAGGGCTAGAGAGAGGGGTTAAGTTTAAGGTTTAACCTCTCTCTAGCTAGGGTTAGACAGAGGGGTTTAGATTTAGGTTTAAGGCAAGAGAAAGGGGTTGAGATTTATGGTTAGGGTTAAAAAGAGGTTTATTTTAAGTTTAGGTTTAGGGCTAGAGAGAGGGGTTAAGAGGGGCTAGAGAGAGG